ATATATATATATATATTATATATATATATATACTAATAAATATTATTTATTTAATTAAGATTATATTGATGTATTTATTATTTATATTATATATATATAAGGAGAAAAGAGAAAGAAATACAGTACATACACATACATTATACAATAAATACACAAAAGTTATACAATATATATAATTGTTATTATCTATAAGAAGAAGAAAAGGGGGAAAAGAAGAAAAATAAAGGAAATCATCAATATAAATGTACACATCTTATATTAACATGTATACATCCTTATGCATAAAAAGACAGAACTAAACAAGGAATACTATAGATAAATTAAATAAATAAATAAATAAATAAATAAATAAAATAAATAAATAAATAAATAAAGGGTATAAATGGGTACCAGGAGAGGGTCTTGGTGCATAATGTCCTGTTATCTTATTCAACATCCAATGGGAAGGGGCGGCAAGCCGCTTCATGTGCTTCTTTGGTCCGCGCGCCTGCATGGAGGAAAAAAAGAAGAAATAAATATAAATTATTAATTATATATACTTATTATAATTGTATACCCGTATATAATGAACTCTGTTGCGCATACACCCGAAAAAATACACGCACATAGACCCTAATAAACCCTCATAAACCCTAATAAACCCTAATAAACCCTAGTAGAAACAAAACCCATTCACAGAGAAGAAAGGTCACTAATCTATACCCTTATAGCCACTATACACGTAGTTGAGAGATAAACAAGAAGAAAAATAAAGAAAAAAACGTCGAGAATAACGCTGCATGCAATAATACACCATTAACTGCTGCCGATGCAACAAGGCCGCCTCGAGGGAGTGTAGGCTTGAGTAAGCAACAAAACAGCAACAATAACGACTGCGGCTGTAAAGCCTATATAATCCTTTATTTAATTAAATAAATTAAATATAAATATACAAAAAGAAAAGGCAAATCTTGTAAAAAATAACGCAGCCCCGCAGCATGCATCCGTGGGGTGAAACGAATCCTTCTGCCGTCAGCGGGAAAAGAGAGGAAATAAAAGCCCCACTCATTAGATGTTAATAAAATATATGATAAATAATTGAATTAAAACAAGTAATTGATTTAATTCATCGAAGAAACGGTCAAAATCATCAATTCATCAACAAAGATTCATATCTTGTACTGCAACCATGAGTAGTCAGTATACTCCCCACGGTAAATAGGAGAATAATCATCAGTCTTACCATCTTTGCCGGTCTTTTTACCCAATAAAACAAACAATAACCGAAAAGAAAGGAGGACAAAGGCACATAATCTTCCCGCTTTCCTTTCTTTCTTGTTTCTCGTCAACTACGCTGCTGCATTGTTGGGGTGCATGTAACACCACAGCCCCGCAGCTCCTGTTCATGAATTCATCATGCATGCATGCATATCTTATCCATCTCCTTTCTCTTTCTACCTTTTTTATTAATTTATTAATTTAAATTACTAGTAATTTATTATAAATTCATAAATAAATTATTTCAGGAAATACAGATCCTTACGTAACACTGTCCTCCTTCCTCTTGTACACAGACAGCCACAAGGGTTGTTTCTGTGTTGTACAGTCTTGTATGTGCAGGTAAATCTGTATAAATTGTGCATATTTGCCCTTATTCTTTCTTATTGGGCAAATAGTATGCGAATAAATGCATGTATAAATTGTCTGCAATATCTATATAGCTAAGAAGGCTTATAAATGTGTTCTTATATGTGGGGCTTTCCTCCACCCTTAGTTGCAACAAGTTGTGTTACTACGCAGTGCCGGCCGCCTCGCCTCTCTTTTCTCCTTTTTGTTTCGTCATTGAGCGCAGTACGCATGAAGAGGAAGGAAGGAGGTCAGTTACAACTAAGGAACTCTCTTATTGAGTACTTTTTCCTTATTACCGCTAACACTACTCCTCCTCCTTGTATAAGATAAAGGAAGGGAGTTATATTAGTTCTTATTATCATCATAGTTATCAATTGTTCAATTAAATATAACTTTTGTGTACAATCTACCCGTGTGCATGCAAGAACATAGTATACCCTTTTATGCCCATTAAATACTAATATATTATCCGTAATGGCTAATTCCCTATACAGTAAATATTTTTTTATCTTTATAAGATATAAATGATTGGCTTATTGGTACCCTATCTAATGCATGCGCATGCAGATGTACAATTGTTCCTGTGTATATATATGACACAAACTTACCCAAGAAGAAAGTTTGTTGTTGTTTTTATGTTAAAACAAATAAAAAAAAGACAAAAAAAACATATTAATGAATAAAAAAGAATAAAAAAGAATAAAAAAGAATAAAAAAGAATAAAAATAATAAAATGCAGCTACTGGAGGAACGGCGGGCCGTCAGGCGAATGCAAAAAACACGAAAAAATTCAAACAAATTCATAGGGAAGAGAGAAGAGGGGGAGAGAGGTAGTATATATACATAAGTTGTATATATTTACATATTTATGTATATATTTATATATTTATGTATATATATACACCTTATTAACAAGTATAAGCGAGGAAAACACGAAAAAATACTTCTTTCTGTCTAGATCCTTACCTCTTCTTCTTTTGCTGCGCTGCATGCATGCATGTGCTGCTGCTGCTGCTAGCCCTTCCCTTCCTTATCCACAGGCTTGTTCTTAATATGTATAAATTAACACATACAAGAGGATACAATTTATTGGTTATATGCATATATATGCACATATTCATCTATGCAAGAATATAGGCACTTGCATGCGTTGCATGCAGCTGACCCTGTTGGGGCTGCACAACAGGGGGTTGGTGTAAGACAGTCAATTATTTCTTCTTCTTACTTATCCTAATGTTGTTTGCATGCACAGAAATATAAAAAGATTAACACAAAGGACAATAATATGCACCTATATACATATATACATGTACAAGGCATTAATCCTTTGTTGCATGTTTATGCGAATACACAGAAGAGGTGTATAAAAACAGAAAAGAAGATAGGGATGAATAATAATAATAATAATAATAATAATAATAATAATAATAATAATAATAATAAATAACAATAATAATAATAATAATAATAATAATAATAATGCTGTCTACTCCTCCTTATTAATAGGATAAATATGTTTATCTGTATATAAAGGAATAGAAAGGAAAGCTGAATTAGTAATAACAGTCCAATAACCAGGAAGAAGTATTTCTTTATCATTAATTAGACGGAAATTATCCACGTCACTTCCTGTTAATACTAAACGAAGAGAATGTCCTTTCTTGAATGTCCAGGCTGTTGGCTCAAAGTTTACAGATACATTTACTTCCTCCTCTTCTTTTTATTTATATATATATTTATTTATTATGTATAATATATGCACATACAGACACACAAAAACAAGAAGAAATCCAAAGAATTACAAATCAATACATGCATGCATACATGCATGCATGCATGCATGCATGCAGTGAGCTTCTTTTGAACGGCAAATTCATCATGCATTTAACCCTAAACCCTAAACCCTAAAACCCTAAACCCTAATAAACCCTTATAAGGAAACAGTTTATTTGCATGCATACCCTCAATAGGTCTGTGGTCCGCCCTAAAGAATGTTCGCACTACCCGCCCGTAACTTCCAACAGGCAAATCGTCGCGAATTTCTGAAGGACGGTTCGAAGCCAGCACCTATACACAAACCCTAAACCCTAAACCCTAAACCCTAAACCCTAAACCCTAAACCCTAGACAGTAGATAAGAAACTTTCTACCGCAGACACGGAGCTGAGACTGCTAAACATTATTACACCCCTGACCCTAGACCCGATACCGAAGACCCAACACCCCAAACCCTAAACCCTAAACCCTAAACCCTAAACCCTAAACCCTAGATGTAAAGCATATGTATACTTGCCTGTGCCTCGGTAACATAATGAGAGAATCCATTGTTGATGTCTACGTCCTCTAAGTAAGCAAAGAGGGAAATTTCGTTACAATGTTTGGCCTTAATGGTAAGACTAAGGAAGGCACTGCCTACCATTTGTAAGGAATTATGAATAGGGAGAGTTAAGAAAGAAAGAGGACTAGCAAGAATATCTTGTGAATTAAAGAAATATAAACTAAGAGGGAGATGATCCTCTTGTTCCTCCTGTGTTGCTGTTGCTGTTGCTGTTGGTGTTACTGCTGTTGATGCTGATGCTGCTGGTGCTGCTGCTGCTGCTGCTGCTGGTACCCCTAGACTAAGACTAAATCCTGGTTGCTTCTTCCTCTGCAGCAAACGGTTACCATAATTAACAAATAGACGGAAAGGATGTTGAGCAATTGGCCATCGTGAATAGACACCACTAGAGGAAAGATATTCAACTTTATACACCACAAACCCTAAACCCTTATCTTTTGTATAACCCTTCTTCTCCTGAGGAATTCAATACACATAATAAACAACAGCATACAAATATATACAACAATTATATACAATTCTTCCTTGTTTTTTTTTGTCTGCTCCTTCCTTTCTTGCATAGGAAGGAGACATAGAGGATAAATGAGCAGCAAAAACCATAGAAAGGCAACAACAAGACTAACTACGTACCCTACAGGAATTAATACAATCTGTTATTGTTCCTGTTGGTGCATTTGCTGTTGCTACGTCAGTTGCTGCTGCTGCTGCTGCTGCTTCTGTGTCTGCACCGTCCTCTGTATCTGGATGCTGGAGAAGATATGCATTTTTATCATGAATAAATAGTTGCTGTAGATTAATTGTATTATTTATTTGTCTTTGTGGAGAAAAAGCGATGAATAAGGCAGAAAGAAGTTTAGAGAAACGGGAAGATCTCCTCCTGTTGCGTATTTCTGCAGCTGTTTCCTCCAATTCTGCTGCTGCTGCTGCTGCTGCTGCTGCAGCAGCATCATCATTATCATTGTCATTTGCTGCTGCTGTTGCTGCTGCTGTTGCTGCTTCTTTTAAGGAATCAAGACGCAGAAGCTCAGCAGACACCCGAGCTTCCTCTTGCAACTCTAATATATTTGCATATTGTTGTACTTTTTGTGTTAAATCATGCAGTGTATGCTCAATACCATGAGCATGTACCTCAAATAAACTATTTAGCCAATCATGATTAGTAACTATTGTATCCTCAGCCTCTGTATTCATGTATATAGACATACAAAAGAACAGAACGATAGCAGCAACAGCAGCAACAGCAGCACACATTCAACCATTCATCTATCTCCATTCATTCCCCCCTTCCCCTCTCTTCCTCCTAACTTGATGGCTCTTTGTGGCAATAATAAGGGTAACTTTGTTTTCTTTTTGTGTTATTTTCTTGGTTATATCCATTGGGTATTTGTGTGTGTGTGTATGTGTATGTGTGTGTGTGTGTGTGTATATATGTTGTGTCTAATCTATTTGCTGCTATTTAGCAACCTCCTCCCTTATTTTGTTATATTTATTCAGGTGTATATGCAGATATATTAATTAATTTACCTTCCTTTAGTTGCATTGTTGCTAAGGGTTGAGGAGACAGCCGCAAATCATAATGTTCAACATTAGGAGGAGGAAAGGTGTATGCATTTCTCCATTCGCCGGTCCCTGTCTATAGGAAAAAAGAGAATAAAATAAATATAAATAATAATACTATACAATATATAGTATATATATATATTCATTATAAAGGTAAATATATATATATTATATATATATACTTACTTGCCAATAATGTACAGGTTCCTCTTGCTGAATTCCTCCCCAACATTTATTCTTTAATTGGCAATCAAGAAAACGTAAAATTGTTTTATAAAGATTTTCTTCAAAACAAGAAAAACTTCCGCTAAATGGATCACAACTTCTTCTTCCTCCATGACTCCAATTACCAAGAATTAATTGAGAACTGAGCACATTCATGCATGCACACATGCATGCATGCATGCATGCATGCATGCATGCATGCATGCATGTGTGCAAGTATCCATGCGTGCATGCGTGTATACATGCATGTATGCATGCATACATGCATGTATACATATTGAGGATGAATAAAGGATTCAATTGGTCTGCCTTTTGTACTCTTTTGTAGGTTTTATTAAGGAAAATAAAAAGGAACAGTTGTTGGGTATATAGGGAAGGGAGAGAGGGGGAAAACATTCATATATATATATCTAATCCCTACTACTACTACTACCCAACAAACCCTAAACCCTAAACCCTAAACCCTTTATCTACTTGCCGTGTTTCTGGTGCATTCTCCTGTATATGAGAGAAAAGACGAATTGCTCCTCTTGCTGTTGCAGAATCACAAAACCCTCCTACTGCTAATACGCTAACCTGTAACAAACAAACCCTCAAAAACCCTAAACCCTAAACCCTAAACCCTAAACCCTAAACCCTAAACCCTAGGATATCTGGTGCTCTGTTGTTATATATATATCCCTCTATTAGGATTAAGAGGTATATAACCTTTCCTCTGTTGCTGCTACTGTTGCTACTGTTGCTACTGTTGCTGTTGCTGCTACTGTTGCTGTTGCTACTGACCTTTTTTTGTGCAATTTTTTGCATAATATTGTGAGTAATACCAAAAGAAGAAGGTTGTGCATATAAATATTCATTAAATTGAATAAAATCATCATAAAATTGTACAGAACTAACTGCCTCCGTCATCCGCCAATTCTTTTTATGACTATTTATTGCCTTATGTAAATCTTCCTCGTAACCTAATACAGCACTTGCCCCTCCAAAGGAAAAAAGAAACTAATTAACAAAAAACACACAAATTAATTAATTAATTAATTAATTAATACATAAAAAGGATTTATATATACACAAAAAGGTATAACAGCAGCAGCAGCAGCAGCAGCAACAGGCAAGAAGAAGAACAAGCATAAATATATACAAATTCTTATGTTGTACAAATGTACGTTATGTACACAAACGTGTATATAAACAAATATATATGCATACACATAGATACGTATATATATACGTAGTATATATATATATATATATATGTATATATTTATATATTTATTTATATTTATTTATTTATATATAAATTACCCCAAGAAGTACAGGAAAAGGGAATAGAAGAGGAGAATTGAGCATATGCCTCCATGATGATGCGTATACATACATAAATATGCATATATTTACAATACTTATATATATATTTATATATTAATTAATTTATTTATTTATATTTATGAATAAATTACCCCAAGAAGTACATGAAAAGGGAATTGTAGGGGAGAATTGAGCATATGCCTCCATGGTGATCCATTTTGCTCAAAGTTGTTAGTTAATTGTGTATAATCATGAAGAAAAGAGTAACATAATAGACCACCAGGTGCAACTAATTCATTCATAATATTAATAGGAGTAAATAAAGATATAATTGTATCTATTCCTCCTCTACTAGCCAAAGAAAGCCCCAACATTCCGTCATAAGATAGACCACCACCTGCTACCTTTCCTGAGGAAAACCATTGATCTTTGCTCCATCTTATTAATTCTTCGCCATCTTTTAGCTCTTCTTCCCCTAAATCTACTGATCTTGATCCAAATGATGCACCTATATACATATTTATACAAAGGAAGACGTAGATACGCATGCATACATGTATGTATGCATGTATGTATGTATATATGTATGTATGTATGCAGGAAGGAAGGAAGCAAAAAAGAAGAGGAAGCAACAGCGCTCTCTATGAACAACAAGGAAGGGAGTATATATATATAATTATATATCTATATATATATATATATATAACAAATAAATAAATACAGGCATGCATGCATGCATAGGAAAAGAGAGGAGAAGAGAGGAGAGGAGAGTAGAGGAGAGAGTAGGTAACAAACCTGATCCTCTAGTATCAACAACAACAACAGCATAATGATTAGCAACAAGAAATTGTTGTGTTTGCCAACTCCATAGATTAATAGAGGAAGAACGTTTATGATTAAATATAGATAAGAGGGTAAATGGCCAAAAATGTTCTGTTCTTCTATTATAACGTGTTATTTGTAGATATACAGGTATACGTATTATATTAGATAATAATAATAATTCCTCTCTCCTTAATTCTATTAATATTTTATCCAAAAATAATAATAATTTCTTCTTTTCTTCCCTTTCTTCTTCTTTTTCTTCTTCTTTTTCTTTTTCTTCTTTTTCTTCCTCTTTTCCCTCCTCCTCTTGTTCTTGTTCTTCTTCTTCTTTATTAATACTATTATTATTATTATTATTATTATTATTAGATAAACTTTCTTGTATTTTTTGCGTAACAATACGAACAGTTTGTTGTTTATACTGCAGCAAGCCCCAATGTCTTGCTTGTTCCTCATAAGAATAAGGTAAATATATATCTGCAGCAAGACGTACACCATCACGCATCTCTATATATGTTGAATACATTAATGGAGGATTTATTGATAAATATTCACCATTTGCTTCCTTATAATTCCCTTTTTCTTCTTCTTTTGCAAAATTTACCCAATGATGATCCTGTATACAAGAAAAAAAGAAGAAAAAAAAAAAAAAAATAATTTTTTTT